AGGGTGGTAAGGACCTGAAGAAGGGACAATATTCCTTCTCCTCCATCTTCCCTGGATTTAAATCCTCACTGTTTTATGAGTGGGCTGGCTCCGAAGCCGAGCAGCTGGAGAAATGATGTGCCCTCAGCCTCCCGGGGTGGCCGGGGGGGTTTCTCACCACAACTAAAACCATCAGGGGGGTGAAGAATGGGTACTTACAGCATTTACCTTCCCCCTCTGAGCTGTGTCAGCAGCTTCCCAAAGGAGCTGGGGAGGAGATCGGATCCATCCGGAGCGCGCTTGGCCCTCGGGATGCAGAGTTTGAAGGTGGTTTTAAGGGCCTGCAGGGGAGGAAGATGATGGGGATGAAACAAGGAGCAGCCAGGAGAGGGGCTCCCATTAAGAGCAGGGAATTTTAGTTGCTGTCACTTTCCTGATGCACCTTAAACCCCCTCTTTGCTGGTTTGGGTCCAGCCCTGCCCCTCGGCCCTGCCACCTCCTGCCCTCCCTGCCCTTCCTCACCAGCCCGAGGGCAGAGGAGCATCCGGCCCCGCACGAATCCCGAAGGAATAAAAACCTCCAGGAAATCCTTGGTAACGAAAGACTGAAACAAAACGGGTGGAAATAGAAGGATCTTTTTCTAAAAGGGCATTTTCTGCAGGTGCTACGTCCCGGGCAGGGGGACAAAGCCACCGTGTGCTGGGACCCACGTTTCCAACATGTTTTCCTACCGGTCGGACGGGTTTGTGATCACGCTCCGAGCGGGTTTGATTGATTGATATTCAGTCTCCGGTTTCGGCGCCTGTTCCCAACAGCCACATCCCAGTTCCCAACAGCCACATCCCAGTTCCCAACAGCCACATCCCACTCCCTCTCCGTCCCACTGGGACATCTCCCAGGGCTTCACCTTGGGGTGGGAAAAGCCACTTTTCTCCTCGCTCATCCCTTTGCCTCTGTGTTTTATTAAATCCCACCTCCCGCCGGGACCTTTCGCTTCACACCCCCATTTATCACCTCCATAACTCCCCCCCCTGTCAGCACTTTGATGAGTTTGGAGCCCCCAGCCTCTGTGTCGTTGCCGGCCTCACCGAGTCTCCTGGGGGGCCGGGGGTGCTCTGGAGGGAGGGCTGCAGGGCTGCTGGGCAAC